GAGGTGCTGGTTGGAGGATTTTGTTACCTTTGGACAGAGCCGCTGGATGTTTCCACCTGCTTTCAGTCTTTGTGCCAAGCCAAGCAAACAGGCTGCCAGCTTTAGGTCCAGACTTAACAGATGGACATGAGAGTGACATCAAACTATAATCTAACTCTCAGCAAGAAAGCCAATAGTCGTATTTGCCAAAATATCAAACTGTATGTTTGTGTTATTTTTTGAAATTGAGGCGAAATTGAAAATTAGTTTCCAAAATAATTCAGACACCTCCATTTCAGCTGTACCAGGGCAGCGTCATAACAACATTTGCACTGGAGTCACATCAAAGTCACAATTTCCACAGAGAAGGACCCATGTATGAGAATGTGAAAATTATTTTGTGTCTGTTCATGCTGGAAGGATTTGAATCAAAGGAAAAATACCAGATTGGGGCCACGTTTACCTGAAGCGTGATCATAGCCGTATTGCCACTGATTTGACAACAAAAACCCAGTGTGTGGGTGTGAATGGAGAGAATACTATTATACTACCATATACTACTACGTTTTTCAATGAAGTCTCTTTGGGGTCATTGAAGAGTTATTGTCCGGCAGCTTTACACCACTGAGCCTCATCTTGTGGCCAAATTACACGCACATGCTTCCCGTAAAGTACTATAAGGAGTCTGTAAACTGCTAACATTAATTGCTGTTACAGAAGCCTCCCTCCCAGTGAAGCGACCCTCCATTCACACACACACACACACACACACCCCAGCCGGGCCTCTCTGTTGTGGTTTCATTGGTTGATCACTTGCCAGGGCCCCAGGGGTCCGAATTCAGAACACATGTCTGCTTTCTGTATGTTTACAGTACAGCAGTCAAAGTGAATGAATGTTACTGCTGTCAAAGCATACTTGTCTATTTTCTGGACAGTGTCACCAAAAGGAGACAATACCTTTATGAAACATAAACATGAAATGGATTCTGAATGCCTCTAAAACAAGACAGATTAGATATAAAAATTAAAAAACACATCATTCCAGCTGTCACATGACCAACTGGACCACGACGGTCTTCACACTTTAGATACAACATTATAGTCATTACAGACTCTGCGTTGTGTTTAAATATTCAAGTGACTGTAACAGATGCTGAAGTGGTAAATGAAGTGTTTGCAGTGCAACATCACCCTCACAAAAAAATACAATTTGAACATATGTGGTTAAACTCAACTTTTATGCCAACATGGATAAGATGTAAGCTTTAAATTGCTCAAAAAAAGAAAAATGGATAACTGTCCTGTGACAGCTGAGCAAACTCCATCTCTTAATAACAATTATTGATATGATTAAACGGAGGTTGAGGTGAGATTGTTTTCTCAAATTTAAACATATTTAAAATATGTGTGTTATACAGATACGTTCCGGTAATGGGTCGCTGCCTACTCACTCATTGCAAGCTGCTCTGGAAAACATGAATTCAAAGATTATTTTAAATCATGACGTTCATTCATTTGGTTAGTCAAACCGCTGAATGTTCTTGTTCTTAGTGCCAATGTTTGGTGTTTTGTGTTGCATTCAAGTGAAGTAGTAAATACGAACTATTCTCCACCTTTCACCCGTCAGTATTGCTGTGTTCATCATTCACCATAGTTTAAGCAGCTATATTCAGTTTTACTCATTAAAACGCATTGTGTATATCCTTGAGATCTAACAAATGTGTTGCATGTGTTTCCTTCCTCATAAAACATTTGTAAAGCAGAGGTTTGAATCCTGCATTGTTTACATCCATGTTTACTAGCAGTCTTCTTCATCCCGGCCTTTGCTCGTGCATTGCTGCATTTCTTGACGCATTATCGGCAACAGTAGATTTGACAAGAATGTGTATGCGTCACCTGCATGCACGTGTGTGTGTGTGTGTGTGTGTGACCTCAACCTCGTCATGCATGGGGCAAACAAAACAGGGACTCATCATGGAAAAACTGCTTCATTAGATGCTTCATGCTGCTACAAGTGGTCAAAACCTCTACTGGTCACGTTCAACTGAATCTTAAAAATTGTAAACAAAGTAAAATGCGCCAACTGTAAAGCACAACTGGAGTAGTAAACTCAAGGTCCACTTACCAGCTGTTCCTCAGCATATTGCTCCATTGTCATGGAGAGCTAAGTTGAACTTAGGGACAACTGTGAAATGTGGTCAAAAGCTCTGGAAAAAGCTAGAAAGTGGACATTGAGTGATTTTTTTCTTGTCAAAAAGGCTAACTGAAGTTTAATACAGAGAAAGGATGTATTTCTGCATTTGGCATTTGGTCTGCTGTGAACTCACTAACGTCTCAGTGTGTTAAAATGCTAGAAAAATACTAATAACAGAAATTTGAACAAGTCTCTAAATAACTATAATACTTCCTCTATGGTCATTGGTCTTGGTTTGAAGACCTCCAGCAGTTTTTCCCATACAACTTGAATGCAGCACCAGTAGGCAGTGGTGACGCACTCTGATACAAGTCTGTGGTCCACTGCAGCACACTGATTGGGCCAAATTGAGGGTGTGTTCACAGCGTGGGCAGTTTTTAACAGGAGTGAATTGAACTGGAGATTCCAGTTTGTGGTATAGGCACAAATGGAAACGCACCAAGCCCATCTCCAGACGCGTGCCACGGTGCGCAACAGCCTCCTGTGTGAGTCTGCTGGAAATCCAGTTGACATTGAAAATACTGCTGCATTGCAATTTCCGCCCTGTGCTCGTCGAGCTTAAGCCAATTTGTGGCACACAGACTGGAACAACTTTTTTTTTATTGAGGAAAACCAAATCTATAGTGATGTCATAGTATATTTAGATTAGACCATATTAATATCACATCAAAGCTAATCTTTGTATTAGAGCAATGTCATATGGATATGAGAGATATGAGACAAGATCATCATAAATTCACGGTGGAAAAAGTCTACCACATCCACCATAAGAATATAATGGAAAAATTGAAATGTTGAGGTTTTCTATGCAGCATTATCTCCTGGCCAAAATACCTCCAAAATTCACTGACTAAAAACCTCAATTAAAACGATAGATACTGCAGTCTGAAGATAATAATTATCTATATTTAGAGTTATAAGTGATCGTCATTTTGGTTAGGTTGGAGCGGGAGTCCAATTCCTGCTCTGGGCTAATTTCATTGATGGTCTAAATATAGCCTGGGTTTGAAAGCTTTTCCAGCAGACAGAGCCAGAGCTTCCCATGAAAAGGATTTTATGAAAATAAATGCAATGTTATGATAAACAGATTTCAAAGTCACAGATCTATGAAATTCGGTCTCCCGCAATCAGATGCCTGTTTGTCTGTCTTTTCCTCTGTCTGTCTTTCACACATACACACACACACACACACACACAATGGCCAATTGTTTCCCTATGTTCATTTACGGGGTGCGCAAGCAGTGGTGTAACGCATTTGTTTTGGGGTCTTGGTTATAGTTGGGTCCCCAACCCACTCACACGCAGACACTTAACCACCTTGTCATTCCTCATTATTCTGTCACCATGTGATGGAGGTTGAAGTTTGTTTCAAACGTGGGAACAGTAAACCACCAGTGATGAGAAAGCCGCTGGCTCCTCCAGGTGCTCCAGTTTCCTCCCACGATCCAAAGACATGCAGGTTAGCTGAAAAGAAATATCTAAATTACCTGTAGTTTTGAAAGTATTTGTCTGAAGTTTGGACGAGTTGATTTTGGGATTATAATGGTAAGGTTACTCCAGTGCTATGCAGTAATTACGGAAAGGAAGGAACAATTAGTATCAGTGGGCCCTCTAGAGGCTTGGAACCCAAGTGCAGTTGTGCACCCTGCATCCTGATAGTAATTTGCTGCCATTGGTACCATTTCCTAACCACCAGTAGCCCTCTGGCACGACGAGCGACACAGCCACGTGCAGGCTTACGCTGAACAACTGGCTCCTATGGAGGCTTTTACCTGAAAGTAGTAACACCATTAGGTCACTGGAAACATTTTGAGACAGAGACTTTATGTTTCTTCTGCAGGCTCAGTCTGCTTGCAATTATTCCACATGGCATTATCAAGTGTTGCTCTTGAAAAAAAATCCTCTAATGTCTCCAAATGTGCAACCCTGCCAATGTTGGTCGCCTATTCTTAGATCAAGCTCTGTAGTAGTGGTTAGCAGACTTCATTGTCACAGACTAAACTTGGCATTGTGTAACAGGCCTTCCCCATAAAGAAAAGTTAGTTATATTCTAGTATGCAGTTGTAATAGCATAATCTCAAAATGAATATAGACTATTGTATAAAGTTCTGACATCCTGTTATTATGAGAATATTGATTGCAAATTTATACTGTGTAGTTTGTTTTCAGTGAGTGTTTCTGTTATGGCAGACTTCACACCCACTTTCTGTGAAAGCAATGACTACAGACATCTTTAGAGCTGTTGTTAATTTAATTACTACCTTGCATTAATGATTTTATAGATCCACAAGCTCAATCCTATTTTATGTAGAGCACTTGGACATCATGTGCTTCAATTTTCTTGTTGGCAAGCTAGGTATTTCTTGATCCTCCCACTGCTCTCATTGTAGCCTAAATAAGTGCTCCAGTTTTATAGCAAAAACAGACTTTCTATTGACTTTTCACTGCTGTATCAAGCAGGAACTCTAAGATATCTTGCAGTAGGCTATAAATGCTAATCATACAAGCTGTTGAAAGATTACTTCAGTGCATAGGCTATGTGTGTTTTTGGAGGTCTAGGGGTTACATTGGACATTAAATGATTGACTTCTGCTGATTTGGTTTGTGAGACACTGCTTGATCATGCCAGAGATGTCACAGTTAACTTACTCGTGAATATTGCTGCATGCGTTATGGCGCCAGTTTTATTGCAAAAAGGGGACTTTCACTGGACACTCCCCTAAAACCTTGGACGTGGATGTCTGCGTCTCTGATTGGTTGTGAAGCCCCAACCGACAACACCTGCTTAACTCCTTCATCCAAATTGACACCCGGGGCTCTGAGAAATATAGGCAGCATCCAGCCCATGCATTCAGTCCCACAGCTGGCCCATAAGACACCAAGCCGCAGCTGCGCTGATCACTGATCCAAGGTGAACCCTCACACACACACACACACACACACACACACACACACACACACATTGCCGGATCTTTTGCTGGGAATCGAAGCGCACTGTCTGAGACGCAATGTTGGTCAAACTGGCCGTGGCGCTGCTGGTTTTGTCAGTGCTGGAGCAAGTAGTGGGATCGGATAATATAGATATCCATGACAGCCTCCCGGAGAAGCCTGTGAGCCAGAAAGGACGCCTCTCCCTGCAGAATACAGGTAAGAAATAAGTGTTACTAGAGATAAGAATGTGCAGATTCTTGGTTGGTGCAACTGCTCACACATCTACGTGGGGTTTGTCCGTACACGTGTTTCTGTGGCTGCAAATGAAACCATGCTGGGGACTCGTCCGGGCGATTTGAGCAATCCGCTGTTTTTCCACTGAAATCCCGGCTTTACGGTGCACACGGGTGATTCTTTTCGATTACTAAGAAAGACGATATCTTGTAAATACTCTCAGACAGAAACCTAATATGTTAGTAAACTATTAATAGAATGGCACAAGGTAATAGGTAATGTATACGGCAGCGCATCTAGGTGTGGGTGCGCGCCGGTGATCGCGTGTGCGCGAGTTATAGGTAACAGTTTCAGTGGTTTTGTGGAGGAAATCTGTATTTTGCATTTGTTGTCAAGGCTGTCTCTTCAAATGAATGTTGGGTGGTGTGTTCAAGCAGGTTAGTAGAGCAGTAATGATTGTAGTAGTGTGGTCGTTGGTCCGCGCTGAATGCAAGCAGGAGTTTTTTTTTATTTAATTTAATCAGTCCTCTGGGGGAATATTGCTTCAATACCATAAAAAGTGTGCTTTGCCTAATTAACACAAAGTACTAACACCACGTTAGACCGCCGCCGTTCATCCTCAAACCTGTCGTTCATATTGGCTGGGGGTTTTTTGTTACTCATACACAGCATGACTTGGGGACCTCATGTGAACCTGTGTCAAAAATATTACAGCAATTGTTATCTTGCCTCCACACTGAAAAATAAGGACGAAATCCAACGCAGGTTTTGCAGCAGAGACCCTGGTAACACCACTGTGTAATTCAATGCACGTTGCGGCCAAGCTCGTACGATCCAAGCACATTCCCGTGATGCCAAAACAAGCACTGCTGACAGCGGCTCACTTTTCCTGCGCACTAAAGTTCAACTCTGTGCCTACAAACCCCGCAGCAGCTATTCCCCTTCCCCCTGCTACTGCCCCCCCAACAGAGGTTCTTTGTTGACAAGCGTGATTTCTAATAAGTCACATATAATCCTATATTTGCTGTGCAAGACTTTGTCTTTGCGCAACCGGTGCGCACTTCCGACTGAAGGAAAAATGTTGTTACGCCCATCAGTTATCAGTTCCAAGACAAATCAGCGTGTAATTATGTTTTACTTAGGTCAGCTTTCTTAGCCAAACTGAAATTGTATGCGGCCTGTTGGCTCCCAACCTAACCTGCAATTTGTCATAATTAACTTTAAGAATGAAACTCTCAACAATGTCACATAGAGTAAGCAGCAGTGTTTCTGACAGGTTCCCTGCTGGTAGTCAGATGTCTCATAATATAGTCTCTCAGACAGAAAAGAGAGACCTTCATTTTCTCTTGGTAATTTATGTCCTCAATCATCTGTGTTATTCCTGCCTTTCATGGCTACAGTAAGGAGAAAGGGGCACTTGAGAGCCAGCCAGTGGTGTGCACAGCTGGTTTAATCACATGACACATATCGCAAATTTCTCAAAGTTTTTTTTGCCTGCATTGCTGTTGTTGTGCCCCCTCATATCTCCAGTGAAACACCTTTTAAATATTGGGATTTCAGCATGCAATGTCAGTTCATGACTTGTTGATGCACATTCAGTTGACACACAATAGAAATGGCTGCATTTGTGTTTCCCCCACAAGTAGTCAAAGCTGTATCTGCAATGCACCATCCCATCTCAATGCTAGGCAGTGCAGATAGATTGTGGTGCAGAATGACACAGTAATATCTGTCACCAAGTGTTCCTCTGCAGGAATCCCTCAGCTTGGGAAATTAGAATCCCTCCCCCTTTCGCCCTGCGTCCCTTTTCTCTCTCAGACTCTAGGTCATGAACACACGAGCGACCGCCTGTGTCTGTGGAAATAGTTATACGCTACATCAGCTTTGTGATTCGTGCAGCAATCAGTGCTGAAGTGGAGTTGTGCCTTCAAGCCGTATGGTCTTCATTGCCAAACACGCCTGCAACAATCTGCTGCTTTCTCTGCTGTGAACAGATGATAAGGTCCCTCCCCTAACCTGTTCTCTCTTTCCAGCTGAAATCCAGCACTGCCTGGTGAGTGCAGGGGATGTCGGCTGTGGTGTGTTTGAGTGCTTTGAGAATAACTCCTGCGAGATACGGGGGCTACAGGAAATCTGCATGACGTTCCTGCACAACGCTGGCAAATTTGACTCTCAGGTACTAAGCTAGTCTGTCTGTGTGTTTGGAAAAATTATATAACCAGAGGCAACATTCCTTTTTCCTTTCCACCGCTTCACTGCTCCATGTTTGTCATCCATGAACAAGTTTGCGTACTTTTTTCCCCTATACATGCCTCAAAACCATGTCAGTTTTTCTAGAAGTGTGATTGTACATACACTCCTCTCATAATCTCTTTGCCTCTCTTGGGATGTTCACTTCACTCTCGGTGGACTGGTGCATATATAGTTAGGACCAAGACTCATGATCCAGTTGGCCAGAAGCCCAGTTAGCTCCCTTTTAATACATAGCGGAGGCTGAGGGCCAGCCAAGCCAGGCCTGATTGGGGTACTAATATGTCTATAGGTTCACACACTAGGAACTGACATCTTTGGCAGACAAATCCAGAAGATTTCAGCAGAAGAAAAACATTATTAGAACAATATTAGAAGCATATAGTTAGACATTCATACTAATTTTGCTGTAACACAACTACACATACACTTCAACACTGTCAAAATTGGTGTGCAACATCTAAAAAACGTACCAAAATTATTATGTGTAAGTAATTGGCCTATAGAAGTCAAAAATGACATCTAGTTAATAGCCAATGTGTTTTCTTTGGCTGATGTGAACTCTCAAGTTTCAACAACTTCAAGGGACTTTGTCTTGAGAGTTCGCTCGACACTTGGGTCTCTGTGTGCACACAGGGGAAGTCCTTCATCAAGGATGCCCTGAAATGTATGGCGCATGGGCTACGACACAAGTTCAGCTGTATCAGCAGGAAGTGTGTGTCCATTAAAGAGATGGTGTTCCAGCTCCAGAGAGAGTGTTATATCAAACACAACCTGTGCTCTGCTGCTAAGGAGAATGTGGCCGTCATGGTGGAGATGATCCATTTCCAAGATCTCTTCCCTAAAGGGTGAGTGACTTCACGTTGGAATATATTTTCTCTAGTCTGACCCTTTCTTTTGTATCTCTTGACTGTTTACCTTCACTGGACTCTTCCGCCAGTTTAAGTCTGTTCTCTACTTCCATATATAGTAATAGTACCATCCCATTCATTCCTGTCATTTCCTAGACCTAGATCTTTGTGCTTCCAAATATTAAATCTGAAGCTTCATGTGAGTCATCTGTCTCTCTGCCCAGTCCATATGTGGAGCTGGTGAATATTCTCCTGAGCTGCGGTGAGGAGGTGAAGGAGGCGTTGACACGGAGCGTCCGGCTACAGTGCGAGCAGAACTGGGGGGCTCTGTGCGACAGCCTGAGCCTCTGCTCCTCCCTCGCCCCATCTCCCGCCGGCTCCGCCGTCGAGCACCACCGCCACTCCTTGCCCTCCCACTCTGAGCCGGAGCACCCTCGCCCCCCACGGCAAGGCGACAAGGACAAACCTGGTAAAGCGGGCTTCAACGCTCACCCACGCAATCGCAGTCAGGGACCACGTCGCCAGAATCCAGAAGCTGGAGTTGTGGCTGAGCAGGAAAACCCCGAGGCCACCGACATCCGGAGGTGAAAGCGCAGGAGACAATCCCAACCTTTGACCCCTACAACATTTAAAATGCACACTTGCAGACTTATGCACACCTCTAAACACACACACACACACACACACACACACACACACACACACACACACACACACACACACACACAAATTCCCAGACAGACTGAGCAGAAGGAAACAAGCCCTGACCTTTCCTGTCCTTATTCCACCCTCTCCAGTCATTCCAGCAGTCCCACATTGTAAACTTGCAGGGTAATTGTGGTGTAGCTTGTACTGTTATGCCAGACTGTAGGCCACAATTTTTTTTTAAATGGAATAATAATTGTTATTATCATGATTATTTTAACTGTTAGGACTGTTTTGGCTCTAATATAGCATTTATCAAATCATACTTACTGTAAGATTTGATTATATTTGTACTATTTATTTTATTCTTTATGCAATGTTGAAATATCAAAATGTACATAGAAATATACTTATCTATATTTATATAAACGTGTATAAATATAGTTACAATATGCAATACTGATGTACTTTAGATGACATAGTATATGGTGTGCTGTCTGTTGTTCTTTTCACAGTATTGCACCCATCACATTGGTCTGTAGATATGTAACATACACCATTTGTTGTTTCAGAGTGGGAATGTGTGTATTATAATTATAGATACTTGATGATTAAATACAAATTGTACAGGTTTCAAGTCCAGTTCTGGCACATATGAATTGTAGTGCATGATGGCCACAAAGCCAACAAACTTGTGCATTCTTAAAGTGAAAATCCATTTTAAAGAGGATGCAAATGTAATACTATGAATATGGACAATTATTTCACCTTTGTATGCATTGGTAAGTCTCTCACAAAGCTAGAAGTAAGAGAGCCAAGACTGATCTCTGATGTCATCAAGCACCGCTGTCTGGACGGCAATGAATGGGAGACTAACATAGCAGATGCTGTTTCATGGACATTTTTCATGAGTATTAGTGCAACTCCGACATGCATCTCATTTGGATGCAGAAAGTATCACGTCACTCTCATTCATTGTTAATAGAGCTCCAGAAAACTGTGTCTCAGTGACATTACAGATTACTGTCATGTTCATAGCTCTAGGAGACATTATTGTTCTTGTTCACCAATAATAACTGAACTGTCAAATGTTATTACATTCTCTTTGAGTTGGTTTTCCATCTAACTGTCAGCTATCGGGGAACTGCAGCAACGAGAGGATGCTCAAGTCCTTTCAAATGTAAAATCACACACATCAAGGTGCCTAAACTTGTTATTGTCCACAGTGACCGCTTCTCTGTGATTTAAGTGAATGGGTGATACTGTGTCATGAGATTTAATGTTGAGCTATTTTACGATGATGTTGAGCCACAAGTCTTAGATTTTGCACTTTGGATGATTGTCAGTTTGTCTTGGACTGCTGCAGGTTAAGAAGTGAGACCAGGTTACCGGAACAGTCACCCTCTAATCAGACCTCCCTGTATACGATATTTCATTAGAACAACTACAGCACCAAGTCCTGTATCCCCACGTGCTCCTTAGGACCAGACGGAGTCCCTTCTTTAGAAGGGCAATGTTACCCTTTTGTGGTGTCCCAATGAGCAGGAAAGAGGCTTGACAGAAACCCTCCAGATCTCTGGCCCCTATAAATTATCCCTTTTTTCTCTCTGGTCCCTTACCTAGGTCAGGAGAGACATGAAGGCCGGTTATTCTACCCGTTAGAGCTGCAGGCAACGCAGCAAGGACCCAGGAACTGGGTTAAGTCCACACACGGGGGCTGTGGCGCTGTTATTCTAAATGTTATATTTACCGAGGCCACCAGAGAATTCCTCTGGGCCACGGCCAAGAGCCAGCAACACAGAGAGGCAGAGAGGAGTGGAGCAAGAAGGAGAGAAACATGCTCAACTTTTATTTTTTTTTTAAGGTGATGATTCACTCCATCTTTACTTCTCTTAGTACTCTTCTTCTCTCCCTCCTTGAGGTCACACACATAGGCTTTTGACCATATCAAGCCAGTCACATGCTTTCGCTGTGGAAGTGCAGTTTGTGAGCACACTACACCACGTGCTGGGGTGCAAAAGGTGCAAAAAGAAAATAAAACATGCTCAGATTTTGTGGCTCAGTTCAGGGGTTTTTCCCTTATTTCCCCCACCCTTATGTACTTACAGCAAGGTAATGTTTTTTCCTCCCAATCATTAAGAGACTATTATATATTAAGCTCCAAATGTTTGTATCATCAGTGAGGCTTTTGGGCTTTTCTTTTTTTACTCTGTTGTGGAGGTTGGGATTCCTGTGACATCCCATCATGAGACATAAGCTAATTCTATTGAGAATGTACTGTATGTGTGTAAAGTGACAATCTGTTTCAGCTGTCTGTCATTAGGTTTGATATGGCTTTTTGTAATAATGTAGTGGCTTGAATGGCTGTTCTTTATGCGTTCAGAGGAAAATAAAACTAACCATGTTTCCTGCATTGTTAGTGCTCCATCACCACATTAAGTTGTTTTCCTCTGTTAAGCACAGGGACTCTGCTCTCACTGTTGAAAATACAGAACATGGTCTAGAAGTTTGTAACTCACCTGTAAGACATTGGGCATATGGTTCTATAAATATATTTGGACTCATGGAACAGATGTATCATGTTATCATTAAAATGTGTTTGTCTGTATTTTGTACATGTTGTGTCTGTCAATATATTTTTTATTTATATTGAAGTAGCATAAAATCATGGCACAAATGCCAGGACAAACATGTTCTTGTGGCAAAGAAAAAGATGCAGAATTCAGACAAGAGTACAAAACTTTCAGGGGCAAGATGTTCAACACCCTCTGAGCAGGTTAGCAGAGAAGGCCTCGTCGTCTCAGATATACACAAGTTAAAAGACACCCTGTTCTCGCTTGACTTGCCGCCTCCTTTCTGACAGTGAAATACGGTCTGTGTTTAAAGTTTCAAGGACTGGAAATATCCTCCCTATTGAAAGACCTAAACATTTACGTCAGCAAGTCTGGATTGTATGCAATGCTTGGGGGGTGTTCAGGGTGTCAGTTTTTATGAGTTGTCCCAACAGTGTACATTGCCTCACTAAACATTTAGACAGTGCTCTAATTTTGAAAGGCAGATTTCTAACTCTTGTTTTGGAGTTTTAAGTCATTCTAGAGTTGAGTTAAGTGTGCTGAGGTGGAGTTGCACTGGCCTTTTATGGGAATTTGACACACAAATCCTGCCCTCATTTGTTTTCCAATTTACCTACTGTGTGACAGCGTAGAAGGAAGGCTGTATGTCATGTCAGAACACATCATTGAGCTTCTACACTGTCAGCACCTCTGCAGTTCAATATGAATCTGTATTGCACTTTCTGCCAGGGTGCCACAGTTTTTAACTGGTATCTCTGAGCATGTAGTGATACAAAATGACCACTGGGTGGTGACATCTCTCTTTTTATTGAAGTAAAGACAGCCGCTGGGAGCAGGTGCAAGTATTTGATTTTTAATAGGGGTGAGTTGGGTCACCTAAAGGCTGAAATGATTTGTTAGGTTTGATATGTCAGATTTTGATTTGAAATGTGAGCTTAAAGTGACTAAACTTCCGGTATTCTCCTTGCTCTTGGATTAGAGGAAGCACACAAGAACAGTATGTCTCCAAACAACCTAATGAGGAACAACAGATGCATTTCTATTGTGTTTTATATTAAAAGGAGGACTCCACAGATGGTGGAGCTTTCCAAAGTTTGAAAAAAATGACCCTGATGATGTCATAAGGGGTATCTCAATTTGGGCTTGAGAGCAGAAAGCAACAACAAACAACAACTTTGCTTGTTTAGACACACCAAAAAGACTCTGCTGGGATGATTACATTATATTCATTTTGCTGTCGCTATTATCCAAAGCAACTTACAATTGCTATGTATGTCAGAGTTTGCATGGCTCTGGAGCAACTAGGGGTTAAGTATCTTGCTAAAGACATCTGTGTCTTATATACTGCACCATCACTGCCCCAATTATCGTATCTATTAGCATACATTCAAAACTAATAATGAAAAGTTATAATTATTGCAATAACTTAGCCATTGCAATGTAAAGATGGAATATAGTAATTATTTATTTATCCCCCCTCCCCCGCCGCCGCAGCTGCCCACAGATGGAAAGACAGTGCAAGCTACATGCCAACAGTAAACTGTATGCTGACATTGTCGCCTGCACACTGTTGGTGTCACATTATGGTCAGGTACCTGATGAGCAAGGAACTGCAGTGTGTGGGAGAAAATTTGCAGTGTCACACTCAACAACATATTGCGTCTGAATTGGATGACCTCCCGGCTGTACAATGGGCTGCCGGCTGGACCAGAAATCTCCCAGCTTGCATGGTTGGTATGGCAATGGAGCTCTTTCAGTATGGAGGCTGCAGAGATCACATCTGAGAGGAGGCTGATTACAAAACAGAGTCTGCACCTTTGAGCAGAGAAACCTGAGATAGTTGGCCTCGGGTGGTTTTGGAACATGTACGCTGTGCTCTAGTGTGAACTAATGAATTAATGACTGCGTGCCTAACTTCCATGGATGAATCATTTAACAACCGTCCAGGGTGAACGGGTGCACCCTGCTTCTGTCTCCTTTTGGGCCTCAGGAACATGAATGTCATATATTTACCTAAAGTTGGTACGACAGAAATGTAATATAGCCGGATGTGTGTTGAATAATCAGGCCTACCTTTTCAGCTGCATAACATGAGTGGAACATCAGCAGCAAGGCTCAGTTTCACTGGGGAATAGAGAGCGTGTTGCTCTCAGGGAAGAAAATGCTAACACAACCTACTGTGCTCAAGTTACTGACAGCCTGAAAAGGCCTATAGCAGACAGCAGCATACATATGAGGGGGGATCCCAACAAACCTACAAACACACTACCTTACACATGCTCATACTGAACACATCCCTGTGGTATTAAGTCAACAGAGTGCCCAATGGTTCACTCAATTGGTACATACTGGCCTGAGAATATCAAACCAGTAACACCTGGACTCTGTTATTTTTAGAAGAAACTAAAAGCTCAAGACACTCTCTTGTGTTGTTAAACCACCCCAACAGGCCCTGCAGCACATGGGAGTGGAGTGGGGTGATGTGTGTCACTGCTACAGGATACAAATGAAGGGTGGGTCTGCCTTGGGGGACACTGTGTTAACAAGACTAACTCAACAAGCAAGCAGAAAATAATATTACTGGTGTGGAAAATAACTGACATTAAGTAGCTCTTTCATGTACTTTTTAGTTCCTTGTAAACCTTTATTCAAGTTCATTTTGATGAAGGACTGTTACTGAACATCTTTTTAGAAACGAAAATCATCCAACAGCCTACAGCTTGGTGTTAATGGCACAATCATGAAGATATTCTAGTTGGGCTAAACTCCTTTCCTTATAAGGCAACTTTTGCTAGTGCTTTCAGAGACAAAATGGTCAACAGTCACAACACCATTACTGAACTGCACGGGAATTTGTTTTGTTGAGTATTCATATTAATATGGATTCAGTCAGGAGCCCACATATTAGCTGTGTTACGTTTACTGGAACTGTTTAAAAGAGTCTCCTCTGCTTGAGTAGCTTCAGCACAAGTAATTGTATTCCCACTTGAGAAATGTATATTGTAAGAGTATACAAGAGTACTTCTATAGAAAATTATACTGTTTCCTCTCCTGGTGATCGATCATCAAGGTTTAAATGAATGCTCTTCATTAAAGGGAGAAGCACATCTATGTCCTGATTTGAAGGCATACATCAGATGAGGGAGACCACATTGCTTTATAAAAATGTCATCTGTATTCTGCTAAGTGAAAGTATGATATGATGGCATGATCAGAGCACAGCACAGATCTGACCAAAGTAAAATTAATAAAGCTCTCAAGCTCGATTACGTGCTGAAAATAGCAGCAGCTTATTTTAATGAGATTGCTTTGCAGTGGATCTATCTATCTATTCCATTGCTTTTCAGGGCCTGTCTGATACACAACACACAAATCCTGAACAACTGCTGAAGTCTGAGGTGGAGGAAAGAAAAAACATTTGCGTAGCCAAATTAACTCTGCATTTGGAATAAATACATATGCCGATGCTACAGCTTGGATTTGCATTCCATTGGCTTACAGTACTCTTATATTAAAATATCTTTTTTTAGTCTTGGTTGAGGGTTTCGACAAAAATGTCCTTGGATATTTAATGTATTTTCCTTACAACAACTCCTCCCATTGACTTCAAGGCATCCTTATTTGGGAGGAGAACGTCTTTAGTGCATGTGCCATTCATTGAGTAGGAGTGCTTTGGGCGTGACCTCACGGCAATCATCCAATCAAATGTTAAATTTCAGCAATATGGGCGGAGCTTTAGAGGGAAATCCTGACACACAGTGGCTGGTGGCTGATGGCAGGGGCGGGGCTTATAGACGGAAGTGTCTCCGGACTGGTCCAGCTGTCAACTAGAAGAGAGAGGAGACCATTTGCACCGGCTGCTTAGGAAATGCAGAAAAGGGGAGAACGCTAAAATATGGCAACATCAAAACGATAAGGTCATGACGCCAAACTGAAGGTAGCTATGCCCGACATATCACCAAATACACGCGTTTGTCGATTCGTTAGAGCAGCGGTCGAGGTTGCGTTAGGTTATTTTGTGGTGTAAAAATGATGACAAGATTTGGTAGGCTGTGTGACATTGAACATACAGGGCACGAAACAGACGAGGTCGTCTAAAGATCCCTACACCATTAACAACTTAGTCATGCCCTGGAAAATTCCGCCGTCCTGTCGTTGAGAACGGTGTCGTGTACGTTACTGAAAATTCAACAGACGTTGTAGCCGTTTAATTGTTTTATTGCCTCCCAGCTGGTTTGCTAATGTGCTACAGCGTCTCTGCGGTAACGTTATCGGCTAAGTTACTATCCTAGCCTAGCGGCTTGGTGAAGGGAACTACCCCAGATTCAGAACAGACTGGGGACGTCATCAACAATTTAAATGGTTGCGTATGAGGAGGTCATTGCTGAGAAAGGAAGCTAATTCGGTAAGTGTCCGTGCCGTAACTTACGCCACCGCAGCGCTTGAGCGTTCACGGATGCACTGTAATGCACACTCGTACTTTAAAAATACCTGCTCGGATCTGAACGATTAACAGGGCGCATGTAAGGTGGCGGAGCAGCTGTTAGCTTGCTGCTAGCTGCGTAACGACCTTTGGAGACGTCAGCGTCACCAGCCCAGGCTGTTAGCTGCCTGCGCTGGTTAGGCTGGGTGTTTTCCGTGGTTGCCTGACTGCTATCCGAGTGTTATATTTCATCCAGGCCTCCCATGGGCCAAGCCAGTCAATGATTTAATCTCATTGATTGCATCACAAGACCAGAGAGGGTGCAGCCCAGGCACATTCACTGGGTTTGACGAGGCTTGTTTTTTTAGAGGCCAGATCAACTTGAGGTGTAACAGTCTTATGTTTTTTGTCACCCCTTCCTCCCCCCTTCTCTTCCCTGCCCCACCTCAACCCACATTTTAGGAAAGAGAACAAGGTGAAAGCCAAAAGTTAACTGAAGACTTACTGCGTGTCCTAAATGGGGGACTACGGGTTTGGAGTTCTGGTGAAGAACAGCAGCGGTAACAAATCTCCTTTCCCTGTAAGGATCCCTCCTCACCTCCAACCCCAGCACCCTC